ATACTGAGGTTTGAGTTTCAAATACTTGATTAATTATTTTGCAAGCTAATTATTAAAAAACCACACTGTTAAGATTTATTCTGTACGCAGTTACTGTGTTCTTCTTGTTCAGATTTTCCATCTGTAATCTCACTGCTCAGTCTTGTGAGAGTTTGTCATCAGTTTTATCATCAAACTCTGTCCTGAGAGAGTTGGATCTGAGTAACAATGACCTGCAGGATTCAGGAGTGAAGCTTCTTTCTGAAGGTCTGAAGAGTTCAAACTGTCAGCTGGAGATACTGAGGTTTGAATTTCAAATACTTGATTAATTATTTTGCAAGTTAATTATTAAAAAAACACTGTTAAGATGTATTTTGTACGCAGTTACTGTGTTCTTTTGTTCAGATTTTCCACATGTAATCTCACTGATCAGTCTTGTGGGAGTTTGTCATCCGTTTTACAATCCTCAAACTCTGTCCTGAGAGAGCTGGATCTGAGTAACAATGACCTGCAGGATTCAGGAGTGAAGCTGCTTTCTGAAGGTCTGAAGAGACCAAACTGTCAGCTGGAGATACTGAGGTTTGAGTTTCAAATACTTGATTAATTCTTTTGCAAGTTAATAAAAAAAACACACTGTTAAGATTTATTCTGTACACAGTTACTGTGTTCTTCTTGTTCAGATTTTCCACATGTAATCTCACTGATCAGTCTTGTGGGAGTTTGTCATCTGTTTTACAATCCTCAAACTCTGTCCTGAGAGAGCTGGATCTGAGTAACAATGACCTGCAGGATTCAGGAGTGAAGCTGCTTTCTGATGGACTGAAGAGTCCAAACTGTCAGCTGGAGATACTGAGGTAAATGGTTTTACATAAAATAATTAACAAAATTCTACCACAATAAATGGCTGTTGAATTTTGTCAAAAAAATGTTGCTTCTGGCATTCCAGAACTAGAGACAAAAACAACATTTGCAGGCTTTTTTTTCATATTTATACAGATACTAAGATTGCACTAAGATTGAAACGGCCAGAAACAATTACTAAAACTGCAAAACTGCTGCATTTTCAAAGATAGCTTCTGACAGCACTGCACAAGCTAGCAGCATAACATCTAGCAGCCGTGTGCAGGACACCCTTAGCATCTTGGCTAGGGTCCAAATTTAACACAGCTCTGGCAAGTATATGAAAAGGGTTTTACTTGCCAGATGGCTGGTAACTTATTTATAAATTCTAACAATGCATGGTTGTGAGAATGTGATACTGGTTAGTGTGATCATCAGATTGCAAAGGTTATGATGTATATTGTATATGTATATAATCATACATTTCTATAATTACGAGTGAAGTGTGACACAGTATTCACTGAAACACAAGAAACTCAAGTCTCAGAGTGATTCAGTTTGCTGTAAATGCTGTTCCACATAAACTCATCTCTACCAGTGCTGTGAGTTTGGGTCACTTATAACATGGATTGGAAAACTAAAAATGCACCAAATATCTTGATAAATTTGTAATGAGAATTGTTTATAAATCTGTTGAAGCATCAAGAACTTTTAAGGTTGCTTGTAGTTTTCTAAAATATAAATTACTTTATATATTATATACTTTATGAAAATAATAAAAGCTCTATTTTTAAAGATTGAAAGCAAATATATTATGAAAGCCATAAATAATAGCATTGAAATTTTACTGTAAATATATTTGAACTATTTGCAATTAATATTTTTATTTTACAAATATGTTCAGATTCACTCTTAATTGTTTGCCTAAAGTGCTGAAAATGATTCTATGGGTGTTTTCACATATTTTTAAAAAGAACCAACCCCAGTTCACTTAAAGTGAACCAGAATGGGAAC